ATTAGCAACCTTACTAAACACATGACTGGATACAAAGGAAGTGAATATATTTCGTCAGGGTTTTTGCCGTGTATAATACTAAAACATTCAAGTGGTCAACAAATGATTTCAGAAGTATAAAGACACCCTATCAGATAGCTGCCAACAGTGCTTACTGAAAGAAACAGAATCCCTCAGTACAGTATCAGGCTTCCTTAATACTTCCAACTTGTTGTGAATGAGTGTTTCAACAACTGAAACAGAACAGTGTTACAAGGTGGTAAATAGTTACTTAGAGATTTTTAAGGCTTAGTCTTAGGCCTCGGTTCACTGTAATCATTAAAATCCATCAAACTAATGCAAAACTGGGACAGTATGATCTAAGCATCTGCATTAACTGATCAAAGACAGATCTACAGGAGTCATGGCAATGTCTGCTGTTTCAATAGGCTGAAAGATCATACCACATACCTCACAAAGCCAATTTTAGGTTTGAGATGCTTAAAAATGCTCACAGAAAAAGCAAAGGCTCAAGTTCTTATAATAATTTTGCAACTAGAGATGCGCCACGGCTTCGGTAGCAACAGCAGCTCAATCTGTGACTGAGCAGTGCTAGCACCTCCTCCAGGAGACTGTTGCTGTCAGCCAGCCCCCTTCTCCGAGGTAACCACATGTGACCAAAAGGCCGTGATCAAAAATGCGGACATGTCAGAAGAGATGCAACAGGACTCGGTGGAGTGGGCTACTCAGGCACTGGAGAAATACAACACAGAGAAGGACACTGCGGCTCATATCAAGAAGGAATTTGATAAGAAGTACAATCCTACCTGGTATTGCATTGTGGGGAGGAACTTCGGTAGTTACGTGACACCTGAAACCAAACACTTCATCTACTTCTACCTGGGCCAAGTGGCCATCTTCTGTTCAAATCTGGTTAAAAGCATGGACTGAAAAGGCCAGGTATGGTGGCTCACGCCTGTAATCCCAGCACTTTGGGAGGCCGAGGCAGGCAGATCATCTGAGGTCAGGAGTTCAAAACCAGCCTGGCCAACATGGTGAAACCCCATCTCTACTAAAAATACAAAAATCAGCTGGGCATGGTGGTGTACACCTGTAATCCCAGCTACTCAGGAGGCTGAGGCAGGAGAATCACTTGAACTTGGGAGGTGGAGGTTGCACTGAGCTGACAGGCCACTGTACTCCAACCTGGGCAATAGAGTGAGATTCCATCTCATTAAAAAAAAAAAAAAAAAAGCATGGACTGTTGTGCCACACACCCAGTGATCCATCCAAAAACAAGGGCTGCAGCCTAAATTCCAAATACCAGAGACTGTAATTTTCAGCCTTGCTAAGGGAACACCCTGATGTTTGAAACTTTGTGTTTTGTTCAGGGCATTCTCTGTACTAGTTTGTTGTGATTATAAAACAATTAGCAAAATTTAAAAAATAAATAAATAATTTTGCAAGTATTATTTTGAGTCCTTAATAGAAACAAAGCCGTGCAAAGTTAGTAGTATAACATCCCCTTTACAACTTGAAGGAAGAGAAATACACTAATAAAAATCCTATTAATCCCATGACATTTTATACTGAAGGTCTGTGATGCCCAATAAATTTAATATTGCAACTAGGTGGAAATCTCAATGTCATACACATATTTTCCACTCAAATAAGGCACCTGTCCTTATAATCCAGTCTTAAGTCTAGAAGTCATGAAATCAAAAAGGCTCAAACTAATTTTATACCTTTCCTATTCATTCCTCTTTCTGCCTAACATGAGGTAGTGATTGAAGCAAACCACATCTAAAAAAAGATGCATTGTTTAATTTTATATTCTTTTGTTTTCTAGAGTCTAATAATATTATTTTATGTAATATGAACCCCAGTAAAATAAAATTATATATGTGAACAAATACAGAATCAAGCTATTGCCAAAGCTATTCTCAAACTAGTTCTACCCCCTTACTAGGAACAAATTGAATTCTGGCTCCACAATCACTTTCTACTCCCAGAATTCTGAAGGGATTAAAATTAGCCCAATTTGCCAGGTGTGGTGGCTCACGCCTATAATCCTAGCACTCTGGGAGGCCAAGACTGGCATATCACCCGAGGTCAGGAGTTCAAGGTCAGCCTGACCAACACAGTGAAACCCCGTTTCTACAAAACAAAACTTAGCCAGGCAGCATATGCCTGTAATTACAGCTACTTGGGAGACTGAGGCATGAGACTCACTTGAACCCAGGAGGCGGAGGTTGCAGTGAACCAAGGTTGTGCCACTACACTCCAGCCTGAGTAACAAGAGCAAAACACCATTCCCCCACCCCCGCCAAAAAAAAATTAGCCCAATTATTGATTCTTCCTTGGTTTTCCAATGGCATAAATGATAGCATATGCACAGCTACAAGAAAACTACTGGCCACGATGATTCATGCCTACTCTGAAAACATAGCGATCTTTCCTTTTTCTTTTTTTTTTTTTTTTTTTTTTTTTTAGATACAGTCTTCCTCTTGTAGCCCAGACTGGAGCACAATGTCTCGATCTCGGCTCCCTGCGACCTCCACCTCCCGGGTTCAAGCAATTCAATTCTTCTACCTCCGCCTCCCAAAGTGCTGAGATTACAAGCGTGAGCCGCCACACCTGGCCTGTTTTTCTTCTTTAAAGTTTCTTAGTTTTGAGCCGGGCATAGTGGCTCACGCCTGTAATCCAAGCTCTTTGGAGGCCAAGGCGGGCAGATCACCTGAGGTCGGGAGTTCAAGACCAGCCTGACCAACATGGTGAAACCCCATCTTACAAAAAAATAAAAAATAAAAATAAAGTTTCTTAGTTTCCCATTTCTCAAACAAAAAGGATAAATTTCTAACTTTTAAAAGTCGTAAGTATTTATATTTATCATTGTTGCAGTATTTGCAAAGCCATTCCAGAGATTTCAAAAAAAAAAAAAAAAAGTCAGGGATAGGGAGGGTCCACATATCCTGTTACTAACAGAATGAACTCCAAAAACTTGATTACTCTGAAGTCATTTATAATGACTTTGGGAGGCCGAGGCAGGTGGATCACAAGGTCAAGAGATCGAGACCATCCTGGTCAACATGGTGAAATCCCGTCTCTACTAAAAATACAAAAAATTAGCTGGGCATGGTGGCGCGTGCCTGTGATCCCAGGTACTCAGGAGGCTGAGACAGAAGAATTGCCTGAACCCAGGAGGCGGAGGTTGAGGTGAGCCAAGATCGTGCCATTGCACTCCAGCCTGGGTAACGAGAGTGAAACTCTGTCTCAAAAAAAAAAAAAAAAATTGTTTTGGGGGCTGGGCGCAGTGGCTCACGCCTGTTAATCCCAGCACTTTGGGAGGCCCAGGCAGGTGGATCACGAGGTCAAGAGATCGAGACCATCCTGGTCGACATGGTGAAACCCCGTCTCTACTAAGAATACAGAAAATTACCTGGCCATGGTGGCACGTGCCTGTAATCTCAAGTACTCGAGAGGCTGAGGCAGGAGAATTGCCTGAACCCAGGAGGCGGAGGCTGCGGTGAGCCAAGATCACGCCATTGCACTCCAGCCTGGGTAACAAGAGCAAAACTCCCTATCAAAAAAAAAAAAAAAAAAAAAATTGTTTTGGGCCGGATGCGGTGGCTCACGCCTGTAATCCCAGCACTTTGGGAGGCCAAGGCTGGTGGATCTAAGGTCAGGAGTTTTGAGACCAACCTGGCTAACAAGGTAAAACACCGTCTACTAATACAAAAAAATAATAATTAGATGGGCACAGTGGCACACGCCTGTAATCCCAGCTACTTTGGAGACAGAATAGCTTAAACCTGGGAGGCAAAGGTTGCAGTAAGCCAAGACTGTGCCATTGCACTCCAGCCTGGATGACAAGAGCAAAACTCCCTCTCAAAAAATTAATAAATAAATAAAAGTCGTTTTGTAAAAAATGAGGAAGGCAGGCGGATGTGGTGGTTCACGCCTGTAATCCTAGCACTTTGGGAAGCTGAGGTGGGTGGATCACCTGACATGAGGAGTTCGAGACCAGCCTGGCCATCACGGTGAAACCCCATCTTTTTAAAAAATCATAATAAATAAATAAATAAATAAAATTTTAAAAATTTAAAAACCTTGCTGCCGGGCGCAGTGGCTCAAGCCTGTAATCCCAGCACTTTGGGAGGCTGAGGCGGGTGGATCACGAGGTCAAGAGATCGAGACCATCCTGGTCAACACTGGTGAAACCCCGTCTCTACTAAAAATACAAAAAATCAGCTGGGCATGGTGGCGCGTGCCTGTAATCCCAGCTACTCAGGAGGCTGAGGCAGGAGAATTGCTTGAACCCAGGAGGCGGAGGTTTCGGTGAGCCGACATCGCGCCATTGCACTCCAGCCTGGGTAACAAGAGTGAAACTCCGTCTCTAAAAAAAAAAAAAAAAAAAAAACACCTTGCTTACTCAAATCACAAATTCTTCAGATACGGTTTTTCCATTTGTTTCAAATATTGAGCAAGCCTTAATATCCAAGCATAGAAACATCAGAAATCATAGGTAGATCTCTGAAAGATGCTGTTTCGAGCCCACAAGAATTGTTTTGACTAGCCATTGTACCATTTGCAAATGGAGATAACACCAAAGTGCAAATTATCTTGAGTCCCAGAAAAACAACAGATGCAGTAGGGTCAAGAAGCAGGATGTGTGAAAAAGAGGATATGAGAAAAATGCCCTATCTCCTCCACTCCTTAGCTACATAATTTCGGGAAAGCCATTTTCTCTCTCTGAGCTTCATTTGCTTTATCTATAAAATGGAATAATAGTCTTACTTCTCTCACAAGACGTATGCAAAGTCCAATGAGGAAACATAGCTGGAAAGCGCTTATAGCCTAAAAGTTGCAATACAAATACATCAATCTGTATTTTGTTCTTGTTACATGAGGCATGTTCAACATACAGACAGGTTAAGTTACACTCTAAACATAAAATTGTTATTTCAAAGTAAATAAAATTATTTTACTATTACTAAAAATTGATATAAAAAACAACTTGCCTTAGATTGATTTCTCTTTCCACTTCTCATGCTAAATTTCTCCTTCATTTCTTCTAAAATTATCTTCAGTTTCTTTTCTTCAGGTGTTCCTAAGTATTTCTGGTTGACATGAAGATAGCAATGCCATTTAGCCGATTCAAAGCCCCAGTGGCAAGTTCTTTTGTCAGGTGATCGGTGAGAATGCATCACAAACGTCTGGGGTGCAAACATTCCACAACACTCCAAACACTGAATACATGGAGCATCAGGCTGAACATAAAACTGGGGTGCAAATAGACCCTGACATTTGCCCAAGCATTCATGTTCCACTTCAAAGGCACTGCCAGTTTCCTTTAACCGGGCCAATGAGTTTTTAGCAGGAAGTATGCTACCATTTTGAGGAAAAGTTCGTGGCCGCAATAAAGCATTACATAATCTTTGTGCATCAGTTAATGTAATCAGCCCACAGGATGGGGCATTGAATGGAAGTATGCCTAGTACCTTTAAGATATGAAGCTGGTCTGAAGAACACCTTGAACAATATATGTACAGTTCATCACACACTGTATTTATTTGCTGGAGTGTAAATTCTCGGAGAACAGAATTTAAGACTTGGGGCAAACAGAGCCTCTTTTCTCCTCCAACTTGAAAACAAGAAATAGATTCCCCTTCCAACACAGTCTGGGTGAGTTCTGTGGAGCTATCGGAAGGGATGAGCAATGGTCCAGGAAGAACCTGAGGAGATGGAAGAGGCAGAAATACAGTAGGCGACATGCTTTCTTGGGAATACCGAGCAGAAAATGCTGCTGGTCCACCTAGAGAGCTCTGACTACTTAAATGGAATTGTGCCAATGTGTGTTTCAAACTGGGATTTAAATGTAAAGTTTCAGGAACGGAAGCACAGGTTCGCTTGACATGTTCTCCATCAGTTTCCACTGTCATGTCTTCATAGTCATCCAAGTGTTCCTTCTTTACTGTCGGCACCTTGTTTATCATCTTTCCATTTGCATGAATGTCTGTCATCATTTTTTTCTCTGGGGGGCTGCCATCATCTCCCATCCCATTCAGTTTTTTAGTTGAACCCTGAACCAAGGAGAAATTTGTCTGGAGGTTTTCCATTGCTACACTACTCTGTTAAACAATTAAGTCTGAGATTTGCATTTCTATTTAATTGCTTATTTGAAAAGGGGAAAGTAATGAATGTATACAAATATTTATGGTAGCTTACTTTTACAAAAACTTTCTAAAGAAAGAGCCCCTTAAATTACTCAATAGTTTTGGTTCTCTTTATAATCTGGCATAATTTCACTAGGAAGCCTATTAAATTGTTCGTTTTGCCTCCAACAATAAAGAAAAGAGGCACACCTCTGAGGATGCTTTGTTTTTTTGAATTCTTCAGAAATACATATCAAAATAAAGTTACCAATTTCTCAATTCAAGATGTCCAGGATCAATGCAATGGTTTGGTTTTGTTTGTTATAAGCAAACACATGAAAAGTTTATGCCATTCCTTGGGCTATAAGATCTAGACTCAAACACAAGTCAAAATGATGCAACCCAATTTAATCTTTACCACTAAGGAAACCAAAAAGGAGGGCAGAGAGAATATTTCCTCTAAAAATGATGGCCTGCTGGTCTGTGCTGAAAAACTGAAGACATGTGTAAATCCTCACACCAGTAAAAGCAGCCTCTGACTTCTTGAACTTCTACAATCAACAATGATACTTAACAAAAAACTGCCCAGTTATCTTCAAAGGTTATAGTTCATTCTTCTTTTAATTAATCTGCAAGAAGAAAAGAGGGTGGGGAATAGTTACATTTGAATTTGCTCCAGAGGCCAAAGAAAATCAGTTTTTCTTTCTTTCTTTCTTTCTAAGAGTCTCGCTCTGTCACCCAGGCTGGAGTACAATGGCACAACCTCAGCTTGCTGCAACCTCCGCCTCCCGGGTTCAAGCAATTATCCTGTCTCAGCCTCCCGAGTAGCTGGGACTACCGGCGCATGCCAAGACGCGCGGCTAATTTTTTTGTATTTTTAGTACAGACAGGGTTTCATCATGTTGGTCAGGCTGGTCTCGAACTCCTGGCCTCAAGCGATCCGCCCTGCCTCAGTCTCCCAAAGTGCTGGGATTACAAGCGTGAGCCACCGCACCAGGCCGAAACCAGTTTTTTAATATTAAACTGAGTTCACTTTACCAAAGGTGACGCTTGAATGACTTCTTTAAATCTAACACCAGTTTATTAGAACATTCATTTAAATAGGAAAGCAATTTGGAGTTGGGTAAAGCGAGCAATAATGTAACACAAAAGGCCATTTGAGTTCAGAACATGAAGAATCTTCAACAGATCATCTCAATCAGTACCAGAGGTTTTTTCAGTTATGCCATTTTAAGGGGGAAAAAATACATTACTTCATCTATTTAAAAACAAACAAACAAACAAAAGTTTCATCCAAAAAAATCAAATAGGAGTTAACATATATCTACCATACGTAACTAAGTTACAATTTTAAGTGGATTAATTCAGCTGGTCCGTGTACACTTTTTCTGGAAAGGCAGAAATTAACTTTCTCTTTTAAAAGGTTAGCGATTTTACTTAATGGAAGCCAAAAGCTATAGACTCCATGCCTGGGAATCTCCATCCTTGAACAAGACTAATCCGGGACAAAAAGCACAAGGCAGACAAACCTCACAAAGAATGCAAATGGAGGAAGAGTGGAAAAGACAAGACTCTTCTTCCACTTCCTTCCTGAGAGAAAACCCAAAAGAAATCCAATAAATAGAAATTTTTGCTTCCCTGTCAACAATTTACCATAAAACAGACCCAAAGGATTAAGGACCAATGCTACCGGCCATCGTACTGACTTTTGTCCACCACAGTAACATACCTCACTTAGCACAGGCCAAGGAAGAGGGCAGGAGGCATGACCTAGATGGGGGAGCCCCCAAAACCCTGAACTCCTCCGCCCACTCAAAGCCACCCACCTATCTCTAACCCGAAGAGGAGGGAGAACAAGGGACACGGAAAGCCTGGGAGTGGGTGTGCAAGGGGGTGGAGGGAAGTAAAGGGAGGAGTCCCCCCACCCCCATCAGAGAGCCTGGGATAACCTCAAGTGCCCTCCCCACACTGCCCCCCCGCGGGAGCCGCGGGAAGGACTGTGGAAATCCCCCCACTCGCACCCTCTCCCCGGTAACTTCTCGGGTGTCACCCCAGCGCCCCTAATGCTGCACCTCCCCCCCGCCAGCTCCGGGCCAGAACGAGGAGGGCACCGGGGCAGTTCAGGCGCCGAGCGCACATCCCCACGCCGCCGGGGGCTGACGGACGGGGTCGAGCCCAGGGCATCCCCGCGGAGCGCTGCTGGACGGGGGGGAGGGGGGTGGTGACGGGCGTCCGGGTCTCCGGGGTCCCCGCGGCTCCCGTCAAGTGCAGCGCCCAGCCCTGCCCGCGCCCACCGCCTGGAGCCAACGAGGCGTAATCCCTCGTGGGACACGCGCCTTGCGACTCCCTCTGGCTCCGACCCCACCCGGGACCCGTGCACCCAAAGCCCCTACTCGGGCCTCGGCGACCGGGGAAGCTCGACGAGCTTTGTGAACTCCCCACCGCCCCTGTCGCCGCCGTCGGGCTCCCCGGAGGCTGAGCGCCTCTGGCCTCCCGCCGCCTCCGCCGCGTCCCCCGCTCCCCCGCACCCACGAGCCGGAGCCGCACCTGTGCCCGCCGCCGCCGCCGTCGCCGCTCGCCCGCTCCTTTCGGCTGTGCCGGCGCCGCTCCGAACCCCACACACATCGCTACACACAGCCCTCTGACGTCACCAGCCCTCGGCCCGCCCACGTCACTGCGGAGACACACGGCTTCCCGCAGACGCCGCCGCCGTCTCCGGCCGCCCGGGGGAGAGCGAGGGCGGCGGGGAGGGGGAGGGGAAGGGAACGGAGCCAGCGGCGGTGCCGCGCGCGCGGGCTCGCCGGCGGCGCCGCGGCCGCCACTTCGCGGCTTCCAGCTCTCTCGGAAACGCGCGCGCCGTCCGGCCTATTGTGGCTCCTCAGAGCGCACCCCCTACCCCCGGCCCGGTCGTCTCGCGCGCGCGCCCCTCCCCCCAGGCGCGCACCCGGCGCTCCTAGCCCCGCGCGCCGTCTGGGCGGCTGGCGCGCGGTGCTGTCTGCGGTGCACCCAGCGCAGACAGGATGTTCCCTCCCCACCCCACCCTCACCGCCGCCCTCCCTCCTTCCTTCCTCTAGTCGCCCAGCCGGCTGTCTGGGGCCTCCGCCCCGCCCCCGCCCCACCCGCCGCTCTGTGGTGAAGGGCCAGACCGTGGGGCGCCCTGGACGCTCGGCCGCGGCGCGGCGGGGAAGAGGGGGCAGGGCAGCCGCGCGGTGCACTGTGCGCGACCCCAGCAGCCGGCAGGGCGGAGGCAGTGCCCGCCCGGCAGAGCGCCGCCGCCCGAGGTCAGGCACGGGCGGCCCTCCCCCCGCGGGGCCGCTGCTGGGCCGCCCCGCCCCGGAGGCAGCCGGGCGGCGACCGCCCTGCAGGGCCCCCGGGGCCGGCTCCACTCCCCGCCCCCGCGGGACCTCCCTCCTGGGCTGCCCCTCGCCCCCGCGGGGCCTCCTGCCCGAGGGCCGCCCAGCCGGCTGCCAGAGCTCCGCCCCGTCCCGGCGGCCCCAGCCTCGCCCGGGCGGCCTCCGCCCAGACGCCTTCCCCTGGCTGACCTCCATCCGCCATCGGGCCGGGCGGGAGGGGTGGCCAAAGTTCCGGCACCACCGTGAGCAAACATTTCTGTCTCTGCTCCCCAGCCTCCCGCCCCCAGGCTGCCAGGCTGCTCTCTCGGTTCCAGAGGGGAGCTATAAATGACAGGTTTCTACAGTGTTCACTGAGGGTTGTTTTTTGTTTTTTTTTTTGGAAGAAAGACGACGAGGTGAGGAAGATAGGACGTCAGAGCTTTCCGGCTGTGACCGTCTGCGGCTTGTAGGGTGGTCTTCCTGGTTCCCAGGGTTGCCGGTTAGCATACTGAACTCTGCAGAGCTGCTCCGTCACATTTCGAAACACCAAGAAATCCCCTTTTCTCCACCCCACCGCAAGATCTGGAACCGAAATAGTCCACCGACTAGCAATGCACAAAACTGAGGAGACCCGAGCTTCGTCCCCTTTTTCCCCCATTTTCGTCTAATTTCCTCCGGGTTTTACTGCTTCAGGTCGCTCCCATGGGGGCCCACGTTTGGAGTCGCTGGCTGGAAATACTCTTGTGCTCGTAGATTTTTTTTTTTTTTTCCTTTTTTTCTTAAAACAGGCCTCCCGAAGGCTCACAAGCCTCTCAAGCTCCACCGCTCCCCGCACCCCCTCCTTAGGCCCCCTCCACCGAGCTCCCAGGTCGTGCCCCTTCTCTGCACCCCCCCACCTTTTCTTCGTTCTTGACTGCCTCCTTTCCTGAACATGAATAATTCCACAGCACTTCCCATCTGTTATTGCCATAGAGACAGAAGCTTGGCAAAGATAATGATGTTCTGTGCAGAGCCAATGGGGGGAAAACAGCATCTGCGAGTCTGGGGGGGATCGATTTTCTAATTGTGAGAATATTCAGAAGGCCTGGCTGAAGATCCGATGCGAAGACTGGACAGTCCTGAAACTTGGCTCCAGGTCAACTCTCAGCACCTGGCTCCTTGTGTCTAGCCAGAGGAACAATTTTTAGAAACCAACGTGACTGGTTAAAAAAAAGTAATTCCAAAACTACAATTATTAATAAATGTTTAGTAGTCATTTTACTAGCCATAAGAATAATTACTTGCTAGCATGTCCAAGGACCAAGATAGATTGGACAGTAAACAGACTTTTGAGAAATCAAACACATTAATCTCCATCTCCCTCCCCGTTCTGTTGATTTGCATTCCTCAGAAATCTGTTTTTGAGAGAGGTATCTTTCATGCCTGTGATTTTATGTGCAGTGGTTTGACAAATAGTGACCGGCAAATGTGACTAGAACCAATCAAGTTTGAGGGCATTTATTTTTCCCTTATTGGTCACAGTGCAAAATGCATCAAATTAAAATCACTTTGCCCTTGAATTCCCAAACCTCAAAGGTACAGCTTTGAAAGCAAGTGAAACTGAACATGGTCCATTTATACATAGATCTGAGGCAGATGGAGGGGATCACAGGAAGCCACATTTTTCAGGCCTACTTAAGGATTTTCAGAAGTTATCAGTAAAATTGATTCTATCATATGGCATTGAAAACAAATGATAACGGTTCTTCATTCCAAAAACAGAATTGCAAAGACATAGAAAATGCAGGCCGTGGAGAAAATAAGCACTGAGAGGTTTTGTGATTCCACAGGCTCGTGGTCTTCATCAGTGTGGAAAAGTCAGTTAAAGAATTGGTCAGCAAATAGTTATTAGGTGGATTTTGCATGACCTCCCACCTCACCTATTTGGCTGCCAGCGGGAGTTGAGCAAGACCACCATGAGAGAGTGCTTGTCTGTGCATAAGAATTCCAAATGATTGGGGGTGGGGACTACCTATTGTTTCATCTTCTTCTGTTGAATAGTACAGAGAGAAGATCCAAATTAACTTGTTACTAGGTAGTCTAGAATGTCTTCCTCAGTAGTTATGGCTGTCTGATAGTAGCAGAGACCAAGAATGGAGAGCTTACAAACTTGAGGGCCAGCTCTGTTCTGTGACCCTTATAAATAGTTTGGAGCAAATGCTTTTCTTTTATCTCCATTTACTGATCTATTGATAATGACCACTAATACTAATTACAAAGAATATGGAAATGAAAAAGCATAAGGTAAAATGCAAATAGTCAACATAAATTATGTTTATTTTTATGAAGGAGGGGAAGAAAGTCAAATGTTAATTGAGCATGCAAACACTGGTTTGTGTTTTCATTTACACCTTCTGCTCTTTTCCAAAGAAAAGAAACCAGTTATAGTCTCTGATGGTCCTGCCAAAGTTCTCCTTCCTGGAGCCTCAATGTGTTTGGAAGATTTTTTTTTTTTTAGCAGCAAGTCAAATGCTAGGAGGTCCTTCAGTCTTTTCACAAAAGAATCTCAACCATTTCCTTTTCCATCTCATGCTTTTCCTGTAGCTTTTCATTAATTTCTGTTTTTCAGAATTATGGTATTTATTTTTTTTTAATTTATTTTTCTTGAGACAGAATCTTGCTTTGTCGCCCTGGCTGGAGTGCAGTGGCACGATCTCGGCTCGCTTCAACCTCTGCCTCCCAGGTTCAATCGATTCTCCTGCCTCAGCCTCCCGAGTAGCTGGACTATAGGTGTGTGCCACCGTGCCCAGCTAATTTTTGCATTTTCAGTAGAAACGGGGTTTCACCATGTTGGCCAGGATAGACTTGATCTCTTGACCTTGTGAGCCACCTGCCTCGGCCTCCCAAAGTGTTGGGATTACAGGCATGAGCCACCACACCCAGCCCAGGATTATGATCTTTAACTTCTTTTTTTTTTTTTTTTTTTTTTTTTTTTTTGAGATAAGACGGAGTCTGGCTCTCTCACCCAGGCTGGAGTGCAGTGGTGTGAGCTCCCAGGTAGCTGGGACTGCAGGTGCGCACACCACCACACTTGGCTAATTTTTTGTATTTTTTTTTTTTTTTTAAGACGAGGTTTCACCATGTTGGTCAGGCTGGTCTTAAACTCCCGACTTCAGGTGATCCACCCACCTTGGCCTCCAGAGTGCTTGGATTACAGGTGTGAGCCACCACGCCCGGCAATTTTTTGTATTTTTATAGAGACAAGGTTTCACCATGTTGGCCGGGCGGGTCTCGAACTTCTGACATCAGGTGATCTGCCCGACTCAGCCTCTGAAAGTGCTGGGGTTACAAACTCGAGCCATGCCGCCCAGCCTGATATTTAACTTCTTCACAGCACTTTCATCATTTTTCTACTTGTCCTCTTCCTTTTACACTTTACTCCTCCATATTTGTTTTGTGTTATTGTTACTGCCAGTGCACAGTTTCTTCCCCTCATTGAGTAGGGTTTCTCCTCAAAACTGCTTTCTCCTGTTATCTGCCAAGTCAGTACTGGATCTACAAGGTCCGTATTTCTACTTTTATACCTTAAATAAGATGAAAAACCAGATGCTTAAAAACTATTAACCTAATTTCCCTGAATAGTGTCACACAGCACTTCCTTTTTCTTCCCCCCTTTCTTTTCTTTTTTAAATAAGGTAGGGTCTAGCTATGTTGCCCAGGCTGGAAAACGGTGGCTATTCATAGGTGTGATCATAGTATACTGCGGCCTTGAACTCCTGCACTCAATCCTCCCACTTCAGCCTCCTGAGCTCAGACTATAGGTGCATGCCACCATGCCCAGCTGTTTTTTCAGGCTTTAACTTAGGTTTCATGCAATTGAAAGGAAAGGAAAAAAAACAAAAATGAATAGCCAGGAATGGTAAAATAGAGAAAGATCATGTTAGAAATGTTTGAATTTTCAATATTTAAATTGCAAAAAGCTGGGGACGGTGGCTCATGCCTGTAATCCCAGCACTTTGGGAGGCCAAGGCCTGCAGATCACCTGAGGTCAGGGGTTGGAGACCAGCCTGACAAACATGGAGAAACCCTGTCTCTACTAAAAATACAAAAAATTAGCCAGACATGGTGGTGCATGCCTGTAATCCCAGCTACTCAGGAGGCCGAGGCAGGAGAATCACTTGAAACTGCCTGGGAGGCGGAGGTTGTGGTGAGCTGAGATCATGCCATTGCATTCCAGCCTCAGCAACAAGAGCGAAACTCCATCTCAAAAAAATAAATAAAATAAATAAATAAATTGCAAAAAATCCTAAAATCAATGTAACAGTTACATTAAGTGTATATCATTATCAATTCTAGGAATTTCCTAAGTGTTTAAAAAGTTTAGCAGTTTATTGCAAATCAAAACTTTTTTCTCTGACATTCTGGTG